AAAAAAAAAAAAAAGGTGCAACAACGCACATTAGCCTACAGCTGAGCAAAATCATCTAACACAAAGCCTATTTTATAATAAATTGTTGAATATTTCATGCAATTTACTGAATACTGAAACACAATGGTTGTATAGGTACTGTGGTTTCTACTGAATGTGTGTCGCTTTCACACCACAGTAAAGTTGAAAAATCCTTAAGTCGGGGCCATTAGCCAGACTCCAGGACTCCTGAGCCCCAGTCCAGGGCTCTTTGCTCTCTACCACAGACCCTCAAGAGGCTTCAGAGAGGCTTAAGAAGTAAGCCAGCCAGGACGGGCACCCAATCAGCTCACCTAAGTGAGCCCTTTCCTCCTCGGGCCTCAGTTTCCTTATCTGTAATATGGAGTTACTGTAGGGACTGTACAGGCGGTTCTCCGCACATGTTGATATCACATCAGATAGGGCCTCTATCTGAGGGAGAGGAAGTGAGAAAGGAAGGGCCTCTTTAAAGGAGAAATGATTCCTGTATGGGGAAGCATCTCCTCCCTTCCTGCCCAGCTCTAAGTAGAAGAGAGGGAACCTGTCTCCCCACATACCCACATTAGGGAAGAAGCGCCAGTCAGAGCCCTCCTTGTAGCACTCTAGCACTCACCCCTACCTCCCAAGCCACCCCAGCCGGTGTAGGTACCTGTCTTCAACAGCATTGCTCTGGACTCAGCTTCCGAGAACCTGACCAGATCTGCTCTGCGTGTATCAGCTGTATGTATTGGGCTCTGGAAGCTAAGAAACGTCAGAAAAGCACTGGGGTCACGGCTGCCTGGCTAGTTCGGCCGCCCTCAACCTTGGACGTGAATCCTACACTCGGTCCCCAAGTTGCCCGCCCAATCCCCAGCCTCACTTCCCGGAGCTTGAGTTCTTCCTTCAGAAATACTGAACAATGTGTCTTGGATGTCAGACCTTACACCCTCTGCAGTGCTGGGAGTCCTGAGCGCCTACGGGCCGCCTTCGGCCCGGTCAGGGCTCAGAAAAAGGCAGCGACCGCCTTAAGGTCGCCCAGAAAGAGCGGAGGGGCAGGGCTGCGGCCAGGCTCCGGACTCCCAGCCGGGTCCGGGTTCCCGCCCTGGGCCCCCCAAAACCGCAGAGCCCCCTCCCGCCGCACTTATCTTACCGAAGCGCTCAGACCCGCGGCCCCTTCTGACTCGATTCCGGTAACCTGATAAGCCTGAAGCGTTCCAGTGAGGGCGGGGCCTCACGAAGGCAACCCTCCGCGCAACCTATCAGAATCCCCCCTAGCAACGCTGTGCCCCGCCCATACGGGCCCAGCTTCCCAGCCTCCCCAAGCCCTTCCCCACTGGGGTCCCGCCCTGCGTGCTAGCGAGGCTAGCATTGGCAGAGCCGGCTTGGGGCTGTCCTTCGTGGCCCGGACCCCGCGAGGCTTCCACCTCTGTGGGGACCACGAGGGCGAGGATTGTGCCAGCCTCACGGTGGGCGCTCAGTAAGCGGCCGTGCAGTGAATACCTGCTGAGGGCTTTGATTAGAGGAAATGAGAGACTGCTCTGAAGCAAGGTCCCCCCTAGTGAGCCGCTGGGAAAATGGAAGTCTGGGATTAATCGTCTCTACGAGGAGGATGCGTGGGAGGCAGCAAAGCAGGCGGTCGCAGCTCCAGCAAAGGCAGCCGGCTCCCCTTCCCCGCCTGATGCTCAGGGACTGCTCGCACAGGCTCGGCTACTTCCTTCTTCATTCATTCATCAAGTATTTATTGAGAAACTGCTAGCTGCCAAATGCTTTGTTCTGGGCATTGTAGGGGCAGAAAGATATTTTTCCTTACTCATCCCAAAGGTCACAGCGGACACTCCTATAAACAAAATATAGGTTAGCAAGAGAAAAGCATAACAGATTGATTTACGCAATGTTTTATGTGACTTGGGAGCCTTCAGGAATGAAGACACAAGTACTCAGGGAAAACTTTATTTTTATGTCTCTGATGAAGAATGGACACCTCTGGCCGGGTCTGCTGGCTCATGCCTGCAATCCCAGCAGTTTGGAAGGCTGAGGCAGGAGGATCGCTTGAGGCCAGACATTTAAGGACAGCCTGTGTCCAACATAGTGAGACCCCGTCTCTACAAAAAAATTTAAAAACGGGCAGGTGCCTGTGGTTCCAGCTACTTGAGAGGCTGAGGTAGGAGGATTGCTTGAGTCCAGGAGGTTGAGGTTGTAGTGAGCTGTGATTATGTCACTGTACTCCAACCTGGGCAACAGAAAAAAGGAATAAGGAATGGACAATTGTATAAACGCAATTAGACAAAAGGGAATGATTTGATGTTAATAGCTGAGTGTGGAAACCCAGTAATGTCTGTCTGTTCAGATTCTTCTTGTTCTCTCTGTGTGGCATTCCCTCCAGCTGGGAAGAGGGCAGGACCCCTTCTGGAATGAGAGTCTTATGGCCTAGTATCAGACAAGGTAGGTCAGAGAATTCCTTTATGGCCAGGCCTGACACAGAAAGGTGGGGGATGTTTCCAGCAATATTCGTAGTTTCTTTTTTTTCTTTTTCTTTTCTTTCTTTCTTTTTTTTTTTTTTTGAGACAGTCTCCCTCTGTCACCAGGCTGGAGGGCAGTGGCGTGATCTCTGCTCACTGCAACCTCCACCTCCCAGGCTCAAGTGATTCTCCTGCCTCAGCCTCCCGAGTAGTTGGGACTACAGGCGCACACCACCAGGCCCAGGTAATTTTTCTATTTTTAGTAGTGACGGGGTTTCACCATGTTGGCCAGGATGGTCTCGATCTCTTGACCTTGTGATCCACCCGCCTCCGCCTCCCAAAGTGCTAGGATGACAGGCATGAGCCACTGCGTCAGGCCAATATTTGTAGTTTCTGTAACTCACCTTAAGGAGGAGGAATTTCAGTTTCTATGGCCTGCCTTGCAGGAGAAAAATGGGAGAAAGAAGGGGGTAAGGAGAAGGTCAGAGAGAGACTTGGCTTCTGAGGCTCTTCCAGTGTCCTTTGGTTCAAAGTACTCAGCACGCCCAAGTGTCATATTTTTAGGCATCACTTTCTGACCTCTAACAGCACCTTCACTCAGATGACCACTGGGCATCTCAAACATAACCCAGACCAAGCACCGGCCACTTTCCACATCTCAGATAATGACAACTCTTCTAGGTGCTCAAGCCAAAACTGCAGTCCTTCCTGCTCTTTCCCTCACTCCCTACATCCAACTCCTCAGCAAATCCTGTGTTCTCTACCTTCAAAAGCCATTCTAAATCTGGCTGCCTCTCCCTCCCTGCTCTCACCGCCCTTGTGACATCTCGCCTGGATAGTGGCAGCAGGCTCCTCACTGGTCTCCAGCTTCCACTGACATTGATTCTCGCCACAGCAGCGAGAGTACGCCTTGAAATCTCTCAGGTCCCTCCTCACAGCCCTGTCTAGACTAACAGCCCTCCCAGATTTACAGAGCCCCATCCCACCCCTTCCACCCCCACCTCCTACTGTTTGCCACCCCCTCCCCAGGCCTCCCAGCCTCACTGGCCTTCTTACACAACAGGCCTGAGGGCCACTGTACTGACTGTTTCGTCTGCCTGGAATTGGCATGACTGGCTCCCTCATTTCCTTCAAGTATTTATCCAATGTTACTTTCTCAGTGAGGCCTACCCTGACCACTCTATTTGCAATTGCAACCTCCCTACTCCCACAATTTCCTGTCTCCCTTATCCTCCTCTGTTTTTTCCGTGCCACTTATTACCTTCTAACACATTTATTATTATTATATAGTATTAACTGAACAAAATTTAGTAGGGGAGACAGGCAATAAACAAGAAAATAAAAGCATGAGCATAGGAGAGTTTACTCTAGCAGTGAGTGCTCTGATGGAAATAACACCCCAGGGATGGGACACAGACTGCAGGGCAGGTTGCTTTACAATGGTCCCAGAGGGGACCTCTGAGCAGAGACTCAAATCTGCGTCCAGAGGGGTCCTGAGGAGTGGAGCTGCGGCTGGGGGTGGGAAGGAAGGCCATTCTAGGCTGCAGGAACTGTAAGGGCAAAGGCTCTGAGGTGGGAGCCAAGTTCATGGGCAGATGTTTGAGGACACCTCCGGCTTCCAGGGCCTTCCAGAAGCTCTAGTCTCTTGGGTTTGGTTGTGCATTCCCGAGACCTTCACCGCAGGCCGCCTCCTGGACCCACTAGGGCAGAGCCTGGGGGCTGCCGGTGGGCTTCAGGCCAGGGAAGCAGAAATGGGTAATTTCCAGAGGCAGAAATCAGCCGACCCCGGTGGGCCGGTGGGTGACCAAAAAAGCTTGACCGGCCCAAAAAGCTTGACCGGCCCTCGCGGGCTGTGTAGGAGCCCGCCCTTAGGAGGTGCCCAGAGCGAGACGTCCCTGGTTTGGCTCTGCCGGGGAAGTAGGCCTAGCAGGGAGAGGGGGACCAGAGAGGAAGAGATGGACTGAGTTTTCCGGACGGTGGGCCGGGACCGAGGCCCGCGGACCATCTGAGGGGGACCTCTGGGTTCGAGGCCGCCCGCACCGACCAGTTCTGTGGCTCGGGCAGTTCAACGCCCTCTCAGGCCTCAGTTTCCCGCCCTCGCAGATCCCGAGGCCGCCTCGGAGATCCCGGGCCGGTTGAATACTGGGCGGGGAGGGGCGGTAACTCCAGCCTCCCGGGCGGGGTCTCCCAGCTCCCGCGGCCACGTTGCAGCCCAGGCGGAGGCGAGGGGTCTCGAGCCAAGATCGCCCTCTTGGGCATCGGTGCGATCGGCGGCGGGAGGTGAGAGTGGACCCGGCGGGTTCCGGGAGGAAGTGGCCCCAGAGAAGGCGTGGCCGCGGGGACGTGGTGGGTAACAGCCCCGACACGAGGACGGGGAAACCGAGGCGGTAGCCAGGGAGACCCTGACCGAGATGACCCCTGTTTAGGGCGACAGCCGGGTTGGTGCTCCCCGCAGTGGCCACTGGCACTGCGGTCCCGCACCCCAGCTCGCCTCTCCTCCAACAAAAGAACCCAGGAAGACGACGGGGCAGGCGGGAGGCCGGGTGTGCGGGCGGCCTGGCCCCCCTGCTGGTGGAGAGGAGGAAGCGCCCTTCCCCGGACGCGGGAGAGGGGAGGGGGCATGGCCTCACGGGCTGCCCACCCCCTCCGTGTGCCCCAGTGCTGGGCCCAGGACCCCCAGTGAGTCCACTCCTCTGGCAAATATCTGTGATCTCCTCCTCCCGCTTCGTGGGCCACCCCTACTGGAATGGCCTCTCTCCCCATCCAGGGGCCTGACTTGTTTTTCTCCATAACCCTTAGCATTACCGGTCCTTTTGGTATCTCTTATTTCACTAATTATTCTTTCATTAATTTATTAGCATTTATTTTGTTTGCCTACAGTGTGTTTCTCCCTGTGGGACTGTAGGCTCCAGGAGGGCGGGAGACTTTGATTTGTCCACTGATGTATTCCCATTAATTCAACAGATCCCTCCTGAGGGCCTCTCTGAGCCCTGCACAGTGCTGGATATTGGGGTTCTCCTGGGAACTTAGCCGAGCCCCACCCTAGACATTCTGGGGCTGGGAACAGTGCTGTAAACACAAATGACATCGTCGTGAGATGAAGGAAACCAGAAATGGGGGGTCTACTGGTCAGATGACCTTAGGTCAGGCCACCTTGGTGGTCAGGGCCACCTTAGATGATATGGTGATCATGCAGGGCCTCCCAGATTAGGTGACTTCAGTTAAAGCCACAAAGAAACTGAGTGGGAGGTGCTAGAAGGGAAAAGCTAGGAACCATGAGGGCACGTGTAGCTCTGACCTGGACTCAGGCAGGGAGCTGGGGTCTGAAGAGTAAAGGTCAAGAAAAGGGGACCCAGCCCCTTAAGCTGCTCAGGGGTTCCTGGCTGGGTAGATGGGTGGGGGGATTCTCAGGGGTCACGGAAGGCTTCCTGGTGGAGGCTGTGGTTTCATTAGGCCTCGAAGGTGGAGTAGGAGTTCTCATTCTTTGGGATAAGCTGACTGGGCTTGCGAATTGTTTTGTAGGCTCCCTGGGAACCAGGTGGTTCAAGGGCTGAGCTGTGCGGCCAGACAAGAGGTCCCTGCCCTCCCCCAGTGAGCCCTGCCGGTAAGTGGTACGGTGTGAGGGATTTGGGAGACGAAGCTCTGCGTCTCATCGGTCATGTAACCTTGGGCAAGTTCCCCTCCCTGCGCCGGGCCTTGGTTTTCCATGAGTAAGGACAGTTGGACTAAGTGTCGTTCATGATCCTGGGGGCACCCACATTCAATGGTTGCGGTTAGATCTTCTCAGCTGTACCTGGGTTTATGCTACACTCTTGTTTACAGAGCAGGTCCCCATCTGGCCCTGAAGGCTGCAGATTGAGAGAGAAAAATAATGTTTTATCTGAGGAACTGGAGCCCCTTTAAATAATCAGGCCCAGACATATTGAAATGCAACAGCTGTCAAGTCTTACTCCTCCCTTGAGCTGAAGAATTATCTCTTTTTCTTTTTTATTTTCTTTTCTTCATGTCAGGTCAGTAATGTGCCCACATGGTAACAAGGTTCGAGGGTGGCATGGCTCACACATGCACGTGAACACCCAATCATCACACTCATGAACTACAAAAGGATCAAGAATTACCTCTTGAAGCCACTTGCTATGTGGCTCTAGAGCGACACCAAGTAGCCATAAAATGTTGTACACTGGACACCCTCCAGTTCTTACCCTATAGTTCAACAATGTATAGCCAATCACTAATCAATATTATTTCTTTTTTTTTTTTGAGATGGAGTTTCTCTCTTGTCACCCAGGCTGGAATGCAATGGCACAATCTCAGCTCACTGCAACCTCTGCCTCCTGTGATCAAGCAATTCTCCTGCCTCAGCCTCCCGAGCAGGTGGGATTACAGGCACCCGCCACCGTGCCTGGCTAATTTTTGTATTTAGAGATGGGGTTTCACCATGTTGGGCAGGCTGGTCTTGAACTCCTGAGCTCAGGTGATCTACCCCCACCTTGGCCTCCCAAAGTGCTGGGATTACAGATGTGAGCCACCGCACCCCGCCAATCAATGTTATTTCTATAAACCAAGGAGAATTCATGCCAAACAACTTTGTCATCCTTGCCCCCTTCTGCCTATAAAAACCTGCTTGTAGGAAAGGCCCAATGCATCATACGCCACGACAACTTAGAAGTTTGTTCTGTCCTTACTCTCACTCAAGTAAACTCTTTAAAGTTATATTTTGTGCCTCAGCTTCTGCCTTTAGGTCACTAAGATTCAACTGCTATATGCAAATAGAGGCCAGTAGAGGCCCAGGAGGGTCATGGAAACCCTGGAAGCTTGGCCTCAGAGTTGGAGTTGAGAGGACCCCAGATCAGGGAATAGTTTAAGCACAGTGGTTTCGATGGGTCTGGGGTCCATTTCAGCTCAGCTGACGCCTGTTTGTTTGGATTTTAGAAAGCCCTGCCCAGGTCCTGCCATGCCTCCTGTCTGATGCAATCTTGTTATTCTTTTCTCCAAGTCCGCCAATGTCCAGTTTTTCTTTTTGCATGATCCTCACAACATCCCTTTGAGAGAAAAGGAAGGAAAGACGAGCCCACTTCTCAGGAGACTTTAGGGGCCTTACAGACACAGCAAGCAAGTAGGAGGAGCCCCAGGGCTGGGGTCCAGGTCGCCTCCGGAGCCAGTGCTCTTCCCCAGTGGGGCACAGAACCACCTCCCTCTCTGATCCGCTGCCATCTCTCTTGCCTCACAGTTCCTGTGGGAGCCATGAAGCTGAACGAGAGGAGTGTAGCCCACTATGCACTCAGCGACTCCCCAGCAGACCACACGGGCTTCCTGCGCACCTGGGGGGGCCCAGGGACCCCATCGACCCCTAGTGGCACTGGCCGAAGATGCTGGTTTGTCCTCAAGGGCAACCTGCTGTTCTCCTTTGAGAGTCGCGAGGGCCGGGCCCCGCTGAGCCTGGTGGTGCTGGAAGGCTGCACAGTGGAGCTGGCTGAGGCTCCCGTGCCTGAGGAGTTTGCCTTTGCCATCTGCTTTGATGCTCCTGGAGTGCGCCCACACCTGCTGGCCGCAGAAGGGCCGGCGGCCCAGGAGGCCTGGGTGAAGGCGCTGTCTCGGGCAAGCTTTGGCTACATGCGCCTGGTGGTACGTGAGTTGGAGAGCCAGTTGCAGAACGCACGCCAGAGCCTGGCTTTGCAACGCCGCTCATCCTGGAAGTCTGTTGCCGGCCGCTGTAAGCCCCAGGCTCCTAACCACCGATCTATGGGCCTGGAGAATGGCCACTCCCTCTCCAAGGACAGCAGCCCCGTGGGCTTGGTTGAAGAAGGGGGCAGCAGGTCTTCAGGGTGGGGGTTGGCTGAGTGGGAGCTGCAGGGCCCTGCCAGCCTCCTCCTAGGCAGGGGGCAGAGCCCTGTGTCCCCTGAGACCTCCTGCTTCTCTACCCTGCATGACTGGTATGGCCAGGAGATCATGGAGCTGCGGCAGTGTTGGCAGCAGAGGGCCCAGAGGAGCCAGCCAAAATGTGAGGAACAGGATAAGCCCTAAGTCTGGACCCTTTGAGTCAGGAAACCAGGGCCAGTTCTTTTTCAGGAGTTAAATGTTTACCCATTTCCAACGTTGTGTTTTGGGAGGGGACATGGGTTCTCTCCTTCCTGCTATTTAGGCATTCTCCAGATTCCAGATCCACCCGTGTGTCTGGAAGGGACTGAGGGACCATTCCTTCCATCCTCTTTATTTCCTGAGGTCCAGAGAGTAAAGGAGACTTAGACGCCACAGAGCAAGACCCCAATCTCCTGACTGCACTGGCCTGACTGGCCCCTCCCAGGGGATGTTAATGAAATGAAGGAAGTGGGAAATGTCACCTGAGAGTGTCACAGGCTTGCCCTACCTTTGACCTATACACCAGGCTCTGGAGCCATAATTTCCAACCTGGGGAGTCTCATGTGCATTTAAATCCGAGGTAGGCTGCAGTATTGGCTTAAGGCTCTGACACTGTCAGAGAAAGTGGATTTATTGTGTCACAGGAGTTTCTGGGACCCAGCTCTTCCTGAGAGGGGTGGGAAGATTGGGGATCCTCACTCAGCAGTTTGGGTAGGGCCCTTTGAGGCAGAGGGTCTTCGGCCAGTGAAGATTTACTCTGCTCAGAGTGTTGGGGTCCCATCCTTTCTCCCCAGCTCCCCTGTTAACAGATGGTGCTGGACCTTGCCCCAGAAGGGGCTTGTAGCTTTTTTATGTCAACGAAATGCCCTCCTGTACTCTGTCTTCAACAGCCAACTCCTGGAGCTGCCAAGTGAGGGGTTAAAGAAGAGGTGGGTAGGCAGCGTGACTCCCTGGGTAAAGTTTGTTGCTTTGGTTCTCAGTCCTGGGTATTCTAGAAGTTTGGACACGGGATTCCGTTTCCTGTGCTAAAATTCTCCCTCCTGGCTGGGCTCCCGTAAACTGAAGCTACTCGAGAAACCACCTGGAAACTCTCATAGCCCTGTTTGTCACCCAGGGTGTACTTGCCAGGACCTTTCCTTGCTACTCTTCCCAACATCGAGCGTGATTTTTCTATTGTTCTGGGAGGCAAAGCGGCTGGGTCACCAGAGCCTAACCAGACTGACGCCCCAGGGGGAAGACGCAGAGGCCGGGAGGAGACACCCCCTCCCAAACACACAAAACTTGCCTCTTCCTGGCCTCGGCTCCCCTCACTGGGGCCTTGGGCAGGGGTGACCCGCACCCAACTAGGCCTAAGGGGGACGCTCGGAGCCTCTTACCCCCAGGAGGCGGAGATGCGCCCAGGGCGGGCGCCCGGCCTGTTCCCCAGCCCTGCCTGGAAGCTCCGCAGCCACTGCATTTTGTTGACAGGCCCTTCTCTTATTGCTACAGTGTTTTGTACGCGGTTAAAACACTAGTAAAGCTTTTTCATTATTACTCATTCGTCTCCCTGGGTTTATTTCCACAGCCCGCCGCTAAGTCCTGCTCCGGCCACCGTGCAGTCCTAGGTGCGGGACCCAGGACCGCGGCCCCGCCCCGGAGGACGCGGACGTAAGGAGCCGGGGCGGTGCCGCTGCTCTCGTGACGTCACCACGCCGGCCAGTTACAAACACCTCCCACCGCCCCAGGAGCCGCCAGCGCTGCGCGACTGCGAGGGCTGGGCTTCTCGTGTGCTCCTCAAAGTCTCGCGAGGCTTCGGGCGGCGTTCTTCCCGAGGGCGGCACCGGGGCCGGGCGGCGGGGTCCGGGTGCCCTGGTGAGGGGCGGAGCTGGGGGCATGGCGTCCGGAGCGGCTCGCTGGCTAGCACTGGCACCAGTCAGGTGCGGGGCTCTCCGAAGCGGGCCTAGCTTGAGGAAAGATGGCGATGTCGCCGCCGCACGGAGTGGCTTAGGCCAGAGCCTGGTACCGTCGAGGTCAGTCATCGTTACCCGCAGCGGCGCCATTTTGCCCAAACCGGTGAAAGTGAGTGTCTGCCTGGAGATGGGGTGAAGGGGCTGAGGCCAATCATTGTGGGGAGTGCGTGAGGGCGGCGCTGATTGACGGGAGCCAAGGCCAATCATAACGACTACCTTAGACTGGAAGGCGGACCAAGAATAAATACGCTAATGAGTTGCTAATTTTGACAGGTGTGTAGAAAATGGTAGGTAGACAGAAGATGGGGGGAAAACGCTGAGGAAGATGGCCTTTCACATTAGCTTGTCCTGAGAGGTGTGGGGTGCTCTGCACCTCTCGAGTCAGAAGACTAGGCCGTGTGCTTCTAGCTTAGACCAGTCCTGTAATCTCTGCCCTGCCTGTCTCCTAGTTTATGGGATGAAATATGAATTGTGAAAGGATTCTGTAAATAAAGGGTACGTGGGACGGGCCTCATCTTTTTATGAGTTGTCACCTAGTATTCATGTGATTTACAGTCCTGATAGATGTGCAGGGAATTATTAAAATCACGGTTTTTCAAATGAACAATCGGGCTAGAGCGGTGAAGTTAATATCCAAGGCCATCGCTGAGGCCGCAGCATCCGGGTTTCTTCCTGGTACCGTCCCCATCAGGTTCTATCTTTTTCCAACACTGAACGCTGTCACAGGCTTGAGTTTTTCTAGGGAAAACGGAAACAGTCCCTTATATGCAACAAAAGTTTTCTTTAGCACTGCAGGGCTGTGTGGTGTGGGAGTTAAAAAAAACATTCTCTTAAAGCTAGTCTGGCCTATGCTAACTCACACAGTTGACTGCAGGTCCATGTTGGGAAAGACCTGCCTTATCAAAACAGTTGCAAAAAAACTTTTATTTTAAATTCTAGGAATACGAGAGAAACGTTGCTGAGATTTTACTGACATTCTCCCAATCCATCTAAATAGTCTGAGTGTAAATACATGCCTACTTTCAAATACATCTGTTTCTAAAATTTTTAAATCAAATTTCTCAGGCATCAGGGAGCTTGTTACTTAATGAACTGTATAGAATATCCCTTCAGTGTACATCTTTCTGTCATCGGTTTTCGTGTATTTCGTGTTCAGGTAGAGCTCACCGTAGTCTGGCCCTCCTAGTACTGGTGCAGCCGTCTGCCTGTAGGGATTTAAAGTAATTAGCAGGCTGTGTCCTAACTTTAGATGTCTAGGGTGCCTTAGACTTTTCTTTCCAGTGGACTTTTCATCCACTTTGATGGCCATAACAGTCACCTTATCCCTTTTTCTTTTTTGTTTTGAGATGGAGTCTCACTCTGTCACCCAGGCTGGAGTACAGTGGCACAGTCTCGGCTCACTGCAACCTCCGCCTCCCGGGTTCAAGTGATTCTTCTGCCCCAGTCTTCTGAGTAGCTGGGACTACAGGCGTGTACCACCACACCCGGCAATTTTTTGTATTTTTAGTAGAGATGGGGTTTCACCATGTTGGCCAGGCTGGTTTCGAACTCCTGACCTCGTGATCTGCTTGCCTCGGCCTCCCAAAGTGCTAGGATTACAGATATGAGCCACTGCGCCTGGCCTTTTTTCTTTTTTTAAGACAGAGCCTCACTCTGTTGCCGAGGCTGGAGTGCAATGGTGCAATCTTGGCTCACTGCAACCCCTGTCTACTGGGTTCAAGCAATTCTCCTGCCTCAGCCTCCCAAGTAGCTGGGATTACAGGCGTGTGCCACCATGCCGGGCCAATTTTTTGTACTTTTAGTAGAGACGGGGTTTCACCATGTTGGCTAGGCTGGTCTCAAGCTCCTGACCTCAGGTGGTCCACCCACCTTGGCTTCCCAAAGTGCTGGGATTACAGGTGTGAGCCACCCCGCCTGGCCCTCTCCTTTTCTAATTACTTTTCTTGCCCTGAATTTTTTCAAGGATTTTAAAATCAAGTTGCTTATGATGGGTCTGAGGTCCACAGGAGGGTATGTCCGTGAGAGGGCCAGGTCTTCTTTGGTCCTGCCAGAGTGGGCTCTGGAGCTCACAGCTGCCACTCTGACCCTCTGCAGATGTCCTTTGGCCTTCTCCGTGTGTTCTCCATTGTGATCCCCTTTCTCTATGTCGGGACACTCATTAGCAAGAACTTTGCTGCTCTACTTGAGGAACATGACATTTTTGTTCCAGAGGATGACGATGATGATGACTAACAGGTAAGACTTGCTTTACCCTAGATGGACGAGGAAGCAGGGTGGAGCATCTGTCTGTGATGCAGTCTGGCCTGGTAGCAGCATTTGGACAATGAGGGCAGAAGCTTTAATGAATTGACCCACTTGGTGGCTAATGTTTTTTGTTTGTTTTTTGAGACGGAGTTTCGCTCTTGTTACCCAGGCTGGAGTGCAATGGCATGATCTCAACTCACTGCAACCTCTGCCTTCCAGGTTCAAGCGATTCTCCTGTCTCAGCCTACTGAGTAGCTTGGATTACAGGCATGTGCCACCATGCCTGGCTAATTTTGTATTTTTAGTAGAGACAGGGTTTCTCCATGTTAGTCAGGTTGGTCTCAAACTCCCGACCTCAAGTGATCCACCCACCTTGGTCTCCCAGAGTGCTGCGATTACAGGCGTGAGTCACTGCGCCCAGCCGACTTCATGTGCTCTAATATGTGCTTCATGGCATTACTGTCAGAGATGAGGACACTCCTGACTCCTTAGCCTGGCATTCAAGGCTTGCCATAATCTGGTCACACCTCTTATTCCAGTCTCATCTTCCATATTTCCAGCCACACACCGATTCCCAGTATTCACCATTTCTTGAGTTTTCACACTCATACCCACCCCCAAACATTGGCTCATTGTTCCTCCCACATGGAAGGCTGTTTCTGAGAGCTCTGGGTCTTAATTCCACCCCATTCTACAGTGTCTTTGAAGTCTTCCTTCCTCCCTTCATTTGAAAGTTGACTACTCCTTCCTCTGAGCAACCAGTACCTCCAGTACCTCTCTTCAAATACTCGGTATTATGTGTCTAAACACACTCAAACCAAAATTTTACTAGACTCTGAGCTTCTTGCTGGCAGAGGACGTTTTTTATACATTTGGGCCCCCAGTGCCTGGCCCGTGGTGAATGCCCAGTTAACATATGCATAAACAATCAAACATGCTCAAAGTTGCCTTTCTCCTGCCATGTTTGATAGAAGCACTTTGTGGAATTCTTTCAGTCTGCGGATGGAAGACTACTCTGTTGCCCAGTTCACTGCTGCTTTCCTTTCTTCCAGGCATTACAGAAAGGAGAAAGCAGTAACTGAAGAAATGGTGATGCTCTCAGCTTCTCTGCCTTCCCTATCAGCAGAAGGGCTCAGGGAAGGCCCTCAGCCTCCCAGTCTGGTGAAGCTTCCTGTATGGTCCATGACCATATCCTACCCCAGGCTCTGGCAGGCTCCCTGAGATGTGCTATCCACTAAGCACTGCACAAACAAGCAATCAAATTATGAATAAACATAATAAATATCAGCTGTGTGTGACTGAGTGATTGCTGCAGTTTCTCAGTATGCCTAGGCTCTAGTTGGTGCAGTTGTCTCTGCTGTCCTTTATTCATGAGAGAAACATAGGCCCAGGCTATCCAGGCTGCAGTGGAGCCCGGTGAACTATTCTGGGGGCCTGGGAACGATTTTCATTGTTTACAAAAGCCCAACAGAAACTGCGCATTTTCCCTTAAGAAAGCTACACGGCCTAACTAAAGCCTCATGCCATTCTGTGTTCAGTGCCAGTCATTTTAGTAGTACGCTCTGCTTGTTAGCATACTACTTAAATATAACTAGAATGATTCAAAACTTGGGTTCTGTGATATGAGGATATATAGAGGTTTTCATCTATTTCCTGGCTTATAACTCCCAAAGCCCTTGTTTTAGGCTTTTGTTACAATGTTGGGCACTTCGGGCCTCAGAAAACAACAGTCTCTTTCTCAGACCTTCTCCTGACCTCCTTTCACCTGCTGCTTTTTCTCCCCAAGGCAGGCCATAGAAACTAAAAGTATAATCTTCCTTTGCCTGTCTTCGAGTTGGCCATAAAAAGAATTCTCTGACCTACCTTGTCTGATTTTAGGTTATGAGACCCCCATTTCAGAAGGGATTCTTTCCCTTACCTGGGAGGAAGAAATGTGGACAGGCCTTGTTGGACTTCCCCACTCCATCTGTATTAGATTATGCCTCTTTTGTCTACTCCCATTTTTCCACCGTTGTCCATGCTTCAATCATCCCTATCCAATGAGGTCTCCATAAAAGGCCCAAGAAGACACGTTCAGAGAGCTTTCGGAGAACAGAACACTTGGCTTTGGAAAGTGGCATGCCTGGAGAGAACTTGGAAGCTCCATGCCCCTTCTTCTATACCTCACCCTATGCATCTCTTCATCTGTATCTTTTGTGATGTCCTTTACAATAAACCAGTAAATGGACCTAAGTGTTCCCGAGTTCTGCAAGCTGCTCCAGCAAATTAAAAAGAAGGGGTCATGGGAACTCCAACTTGAAGCTCAGAAGTGCTGGAGGCTTGGACTTGTGAATGTTGTCT